ACTCCCAGAATTCCCCAGCTAGCAAGAATTCTCAACTCCCAGAATTCTGCAGCGGCCATTAAGTGTGAAAAATGATCATAAGTCACTTTTTTTTTTCTGTGCCATTATAACTTCGGTCACCAAATGAATGATTGTAAGCTGTACCTGTTCCGATTTTGTTTGTTAATATTTTTATCTGATGTGTTTCTATGATTGACAATTTTAATGCTTTTTTTAAAAAAAAATGCTGGAAGCCTCCTGGAATCGCGGGATAAGAGACGGGCAGCAAATAATCATAATCTTTTTAACAACCTGAAAATCCCTTTGCAGAGTGGAGTCAGGGCAACTGAATGGAACTAGCAGAGCATTTATCGGCCGGATGCCCTTCCCATTGCCAATGTGGAGTTTTGTTCAGCAGATATATTCTCAGTGTGCCCAGAGAAATATCCGCCTCTACGTAGGATGGAACTCACAACCTCCTGACTATGAGGGGAGATGGCTCCACCTCCCCGCCACTGCAATGCTCCTACGGGCAGCAAATCAATTTCATAAAATAAATTTGTTTTTGAGAGACTGCAGAGCGAGGTTCGTTGTTCATTTTATTGTGTGTGGTTTTTTTGTTTTTTTTAAGGCAACAACTAAGTGCAACCTGTAATGGAGACACCGGTCAGGTGACAGGAAGCCATTTTCCAAGTGGAATTGGGCACCGAGGTGACAACATGGCCTACCAGCAGAACCAGTTCGATTGAGCCATCTTTGGGGATGTAGACATGTGTGGTTGTGTTGTGTTTGAAGATGAGGTGGTGGTGATAGGCTCAGAGATCTCTCCTCACTAAAGCAGTTCTTTGAACAAGCCTCTCAACTCCCCAAAACAACAGTCGGCGGCTGGCAGCCTTGGCCCAAATACCGCCCATTAGCTGTTAAATCACCTCAGTCTTTCCAAGTTCTCATTTCAGTATCTCCATATTCCATGAATTTGGGGCAAGGGTGAGGAAACTTAAGGGGGTTGGAAGTGAAGAAAAGGGCGACAGTTTGCTAGATCACATCGCCACCAAAATTTGGGCGGCACGTAACAAAGCTCCTCGTACGGGAGGGCCGTTCATTTCCGCGATCAATTGGAAGGATCTGAAAACGCGGGACAAGAAAGATATTGGCGGTTGACCTACCCTCCTGCAGCTCGATCACCTTTCGTTACAAATTGGGTTTGAGATTAAACCTGGTTAACCGTCCTGATACGGACCGAAACTTCAGCTGAGGTTCTGGCATTGAACCTCACTGCTTTTGAAAACGGTTCTAGACTTTTAAACACCGCGGATTCTTGGGACTACACAGCAGAGTACAAATTTGCGTCCCGGATGGATCGAACGTAAATGCCGGAGGGAGAAAGAGAAAAAGGCTAGAGGCTGAAAGAAAAATGGGGTGCCCTTTTTTTCTCTTTGGTTTTTATAGGACGGGGAGCAAAACCGGCGGGCCGGGGCAGAAAATCACTGCAGAAAAGGCCAAACTCTGCTCCACATCTGGATAAGCGTCGAGACGCCAGGAAAGAGATGCGGAATCTTGGCAGTCGTCACATGAACATATCGTCATAGTCCGGAGGGCGAAGGTGGTCGGGATTAGGCCTGAAAGAGGAATGAAAAATGCTTTATTGTCTTGGGGGGGGGGGATCTCCAAACCTCGCCACTTTTAGGTTTGTGGACTTCAACTCCCAGAATTCCCCAGCCCAACTGTGCTGAAATACAGACCAGGAAGTTGCAGACCTACTCTGGGGTGGCCCCCACACAATATGGAACAGGCTGCCCTCAATGGGAACCGTGATTCGTCTTGTATGGCAACGCCAGAAGACAATAAACGTTGTACTTTAGAAGGGAATGTGCGTAGCTCATATTGGGTTGAACAATGGCACCCTTGGTGCTCTCTGGTTTTCGTGCAGACGTTTCATGACCCAACTAGGGAACATCATCAGTCCTGTTTATGCAAACACTGAGCAATTCACTCCCTTCTAGCATTGATGACGTTCCTTAGCTGGGTCATAAAACGTCTGCAAGAAAACCACCAAGCTCAGAGAGCACCAAGGACCCTACAGTCCTCCTCCTCTCTGCAAACCCCACTCCCTTCTAGCACTGAGGATGTTACCTAGTTTGGTAGTGAAAGGTCTGCAAGAAAACAACAAGCTGAGAGAGCCCCAAGGGGACCCCACAGTCATTATCATAATAGTAGTTGTCATCGTCCTTCTCCTCCTCCCAAACCCGACTTTCTTTTAGCATTGATGGTGTTACCTAGCTTGGTAGTGAAACGTCTCCAAGAAAACAACTAAGCTCAAAGAGCACTAAAGACTCAGTTCTCTTCCTCCTCATCTCCACAATCCTCATTTTCTCCTACCACTGATGATGTTAACCAGCTTGGTAATGAAAGGTGTGCAAGAAAACAATCAAGCTCAGATAATATAGAATTATAAATATAATTATTTGATTTCTATAGCCTATCTAAGCAACTGGCTCTGTGTGGCTCACAGATCAGAAACACGTACGTTTTGCCTTCAAAATATTTTTTCATTTTGCTTATGTTTTAGAATACTTTTTTTGTTGGCTTACTTTATTTATTGTGACGAGATGGGCCGCTATAGAACTTGGGAGGAATTAATAAAATAAATAAAACATTTGACTTTTACGATTGGATCCGGCTTTGCTTTTAACGTTTTGCCTTTCTTTTTCCTTTAAACGTTTTTTTAAATACTTTTTTAAAAAAGCTTTTGGCTTTCTAAACACGGACAAGACCTTTGACTGATATGGTCAGGATTTTCAGGCCTTGATGAATTTATTGCAATTTCTACGTTTTCCCAGTTAATATGGTTTAAGGAAGTGTTGGTGTCGTGCCCCCATCGGAGTCTGAATCTGAGGAGGAAGACGAACAGCTGACAGGGAGTGGGAGTGTGGCTCCGTTGGCTGTGGAGGAAACTGGGGAAGGGCGAAGTCCGGCTGGGCAGAGCAGGGGAGAGGTAGAACAAGGGAGAGGGGAATTCAGAGGAAGACCCAGGCCCGCCCCATCTTCATCTTAGGGCATGCAGGGAGGAACGGAGAAGGGAGCAATGTGGGTTGCATGGCTTACGGGGGAGGAAAGGGCCCTGATTCCCTTCATTAGCCACACCTGGGAAAAGAGTTTATAAAAGATGTATGCTGAGTGCGGCAGCTGCTGGGAACAAACTGTTAGTTTATCTTGTGTTGACTTTGGTTATCTGCGTTCCTGGCATCCTCCCAATCGAGTTGAATGACTGCCGTTCCTTCACGTCTGGAATTCCTTTTCTTGTCCTGCCGGATTAATTACGTCAGTTTGGCTTGATTGGACTTTAAGTTACGGTTTGTGTTTACCTTGTTTTGGACTTAATTTTCTGCAGTTAAAGGCTCTTCCTGGGAGAGTTTTTCTCCAGCCAAAAGTAACCAGGACATTGGGGGAAAAGTTGGAGCTAATAAAGGGACTCTTATTGATTAGATTGTGTTGTTTTTGTGCATTGCCCCTTTGGGTCATCACAGTTTTTTTAACTGATGGTTTTAGCACAGAGATGGTCGATGGGAGGAGCAGGAGGAAAACGCAGTCAGATAAAGACATAATCCTAGAATAAAATCCCAGAGTTGTGTTTATATAAGATGCTTAACTCAGTTATGCAGCTAATCTCGGGCCATCTGGATGAGCAGGGTTGAAACTGGCTAAGCCGCAAAACTACCAGAATCCATCGAAATTAAACCAAGGCCAAGATTAAACTGTGGCACATATTACGCGCATCAATTACAGCACCTGAGGTAAAATGTTAATACAGGTTAGCCTTCGACGTACGGACGTAATCGAGCCCAGAATTTCTGTTGCTAAAGCAAGACAGTTGTTAAGTGAGTTTTGCCTCATTTTACGATCTTTCGCACCACCGTTGTTAAGTGAATCACTACCTTGGTTAAGTTGGTCACAAGGCTGTTAAGCGAATCGGGCTTCCCCGTTGAATTTGTTCGTCAGACGGTTGCAAAAGGGGATCATGTGACATCCGGCACATTACGCCCGTCATAAATACGAGTCAGTAGCTTGAATTCTGATCCCGTGACCACAGGGAGGCTGCAAATGGTCTTAAGTCTGAAAAACGGTCCTAAGTCACTTCGTTCGGTGCCATTGTATCTTTGGTCACTAAATGAACCGTTTTAAGTCAAGGACTACCTTGTATTCTTCTTTTGATCCCCATGGGCACATTCCCCAATTTGAGGTAAAATTTAGATCCGGTAGTCCTCGACTTACGACCGATTGCTTAGTGGCATTTCCAAGTTACGACGGACTACTCGTTGAGCGACCGTTTCAAGTTTCGCCCCTCAATGGGTTGTTAAATTCTCAACAAATGCAGAAGGAGGACATTTTGAAAAAATCCCACTTTTCAGCAGTTCAACGCAAAAGGATTTCCACAATACTTACCTAGGCCGGTGGGCCCCTGGGGGTCCAAACGGGTCAAACCGGGCCCCTGGAGGAACAGAACCAGGGGGAAGTCTGCTGGGGAGCCCAGAAGAGGGGTCCAGGACAGGATTTCGAAATCCCGATCGAAGCGGATCGAAGATCATTCCTCCACCCCGGCCTCTGAGGAAGAGAATCAACAGTGAATTAAGAGTTAGTTTGCTCTTGTGGTTAATGCGCCGGATTAAGAAACCAGGAGATGGTGAATTCTAGTCCTATCTTATACAAAAAAGCCAGCTGGGTGAGTTTGGGCCAATCGCCAGGAGACTGGGAGTTCTAGTCCTGCTTTAGCCATGAAAGGTAACTAGGTGACTTTGGGGCAATCACTGGGAGACTGGGAGTTCTAGTCCTTTCTTAGATATAAAAGCCGGCTGGGTGAGTGTGAGCCAATCACTGGGAGACTGGGAGTTCTAGTCCTTTCTTAGACATAAAAGCCGGCTGGGTGAGTGCGAGCCAATCACTGGGAGACTGGGAGTTCTAGTCCTGCCTCATGCAGGAAAGCTGGCTGGTGATTTGCAGCCAATCACTGGGAGACTGGGAGTTCTAGTCCCATCTTAGGCACGAAAGCTGGCTGGGTGACTTTGGGCCCATTGCCAGGAGACTGGGAGTTGTAGTCATGTCTTAAGACAGAAAAGCCACCTGGGTCAATCATTCTCTCTCAGCCCAACCCACCTCACAAGGTTGCTGTTGTGGGGAAAATAGGACAAAGAAAGAATATTGGGTATATTCACCCTCTCCAGTTATCTATAAAGGCAATAAAGGTGAGATATCAAAATCTAATTAAAATTAAAAAAATGCAAATCTGGTCAATTGATGGGTTGGTAGGTCCTCTGCCCAAGGAAGCTTCTAGCTGCCTGAGGCATTCTGGGAATTGAAGTCTTCAAAGTCGTTTAAGGTTGAGAAACAACCGTGGATGAATTGTAAAAAAGGCAACCCACGAAATGAGGGATCGACTTACGCCAAAGGATCCAGATCTTGTCTGCCGATATTGAACGGATCGAGCGGATCTGGCCTGAAAGAGAACTCATTTTCATTACAGTATCAGACAACGGATCTAAGGGACCCCGGAACAGGCGAAACGGGGACCCTCCTGGGGACATAGCGGGCGTCCCATCATTCTAGTCCTCAGTGAGGTCCACAGATCCACAAACCGGGCGCGGTCAAGCCCACCAAAGCCCAAGGCACTCACCAGTTGGGCTGGCGGCTGCCGTGAGGATGCTGAGGTGGGATCCAGAGAGGGTCGTGGTCAGGGGGATTGGGCGGCGAGGGGTTCCTCTCCCGTTTGGGCTCTTTCTCCTTGGCGCCGGTTGGCCTCTTTGAGGTTTCAAACGGGGAGAGTATGTGATGGACAATCTGGTTCTGTAACTCCTCCACGTTCCGATATACCCTGTAAAAAGGGGCAAGGAATCACTGGATGCCAGGAATCATGTACACGCGGTCCTCGATTTACCACCGTTTTCTTGCACTTATGACCACTGGCACATCCCTGTGGTCACGTGATCAAAAGTCAGGCACTTGGCAACTGACTTGGCTCTGGGTGGCTTTGGGCCAATCTCCAGGAGACAGAGAGTTCTAGTTCTAAGATAAACATGAAAGCCATCTGAGTGACCTTGGACTGATCACCAGGAGAGAGTGAGTTCTAGTCCTGACATAAATGTGAAAGCCATCTGGATGACTTTGGACCAATCACCAGGAGACAAGGAGTTCTAGATCTAAGATAAACATGAAAGTTATCTGGATGACTTTGAGCCGATCAACAGGAGACAGGGAGTTCTAGTTCTAAGATAAATATGAAAGTCATCTGGGCGACTTTGG